ATACAGGCATGCTTCGTGCAGAGTGGCAAGCATCACTTTAGAGGTCCCGGGTGGTTAGCATCCTTTGGATATTTTCTCCAGGTTATGCCGGTGTGTTGGGAAATGAGCAGGCAAATAGACTGGCCGGCTCAGTCACGCTTGGTGGTGAACTGATGTATGACACGCTAGGTATTGTGAGGGCCCTTTGGGAACAAATGAACAGTGCGGAGGCGCCAATAGAACATTACGATCAGAGAAGAAAAGCGCTCATGGGAAAGATAAGACGGATACACAATCAGACGGTTACTGGTGCCATCGGAATTGGAACTTTTCGCTTGCTGCTGACGATGGGGACGGAGCATTTATGAGAGTGTCCGGAGTGCTGTGATGTCGTCTTAATCTAACAGTCCTTCAACATTCTATAATCATTTGCATTTAGCCTTAGCATACTAACAAAATCTGGCAAGACATTTGAATATACAGCATTCTTGTGCCTGCTTACAGCATGGCTGCGACATTTGGCAGATACATTCGACTTCTGCAGGCATTTGTTGACCCCGAAATCCTTGCCAGGTACAGCATCCTAAACGTTTCTTCTTTGAAAGTATAGATTAATCAAGTAACAGAAAATGTATTGATCGGCACTCGTAGAAAGAAGTAGCAAGATATAAGAACACACTAGACAATATAAAAATCGAAGCTATAGTTACAGTGCCGGGAATTGACCCTGCCACCTCCAGACGACGTGCGCGCCTCGCCATGGATATAAGTGAGTATGGTTATTGTCACTATCAGACATCTGCTGCCAAATGTTCTGGGGCTGAAAGAGACAACGCTTTCGGTACGAAACAACTCACTTTAGTTTTCTCGGTTATTGCAACCAGAATACCAGTATGTCCTTTTCAACAGATAGTTAAACTACTTCTGTCCTATAGTGTCTCACTTGAAATCCTATCTGTCGAGTCGTATTTATAGAAGTAGAAGTTGTTACAACAGAAGCAGTAGCAGCAGCAGTAGTAGTAATAGTAGTAGTAGTTTTAGTAGCAATAGTAGTTCTAGTAGTAATATTAGTAGTAGGCCTAGTAGCAGCAGCATTAGTAGAAGGAGATAAAGAATTTACATGTCCAATAATCTGTTTCTGCACTGGTTTAGCATTTTGTTTTTGCTTTCAAACGCACGCTTTTGGAATAGAAGACGTGAACGAGACAATTGCTAGCGACCTAAAGAGTTCATGCATTTTAATAAATATTCCTTTCTTTTATTTCGCATTTGACACATGTCAGTCGTATGAGGAATGGAAGTAGTGCTTTTAAATTTGCAAGTTATGGCAATACGTCCCTATCAAAGAGCTTAAACATATAAGGCAGGGGCGCCACCAAAAAGAGATCATGGGGAGATGGGAGGCGGGGGTGTCCAGCAACTTAATAATTTTCTAGAGAACCGGTGGGGACCGAAAAGAGCTTGAGCCGTGTTTTATTATTATTATTCCCATTAATTTTCCGGAGCCCCATTTGAGGAAAAAAAAAGGGGGGGGGGAGTGTGGACAGACTCATTGCCCTAAGAAGCATATCGTACATGAGTACTTTGAGGTAGCAGTGCATCTACCTCAGAGGCGATAAACCAACAATCTGCTTACGAATAAGCTAAATCTGTAAAACGGATGTGCACGCAAAAACTCAAGTTACGGAACAAGGCCAAAGTCTAAAAATTTAACTCGAAAAGGCACAATTTTCTGCCGGTGACGGTGTCTGCAATCAAGGCCTGTCATCCACAAAGAGTAATTCGTTGATGTTACTATTATTTTCGTTCCTGGGCATGGCATCCTTTGCTTATTCTGTCTGAGGTTTTGAACAACGGATCAACATCATGGCACACGGATGGCACACCCATAAGTGCTCCGTTCTTCTTCTAACTCAAATCTGAGTCCGAAGAAATTCAGCACAGCGCACAGACTCTGTAGCACCGGCGAGGATCCTGAAATACTTTAAGTTGATTTTTAACTCAAAATTTTGCCCGGGCAGCGCCGTTAGGCTACTCTTCTCGATTTCCAACTGCCTAGGTATTTTTACGTGCGCAACAATGCACACGGGCGTCTGATCTCACTACCCAGAGACCAGGGGGAATTACTAGAAGTCCAAGTCCACGTGAAAAAAAAAATACCTGTCAATTATGTGTCCGGTATAAAGTAGATGACGTCCTATAGAAGAAGCGGGTTCTTTCCTTTTGACTGGTCTCGACCCCCTAGAAGGATCACTGAGCTGTATATGTAGCCATTTGGGTATGTGCTCTGTCACTCTATTTCTAAGCTGTCTCTCGGTCCGACCGATGTAAGTCAACTGGCACTTACATGTGAATTGGTAAATACAATTGGATTTGGTGTACGGAAAAACGAGCTATTTAGTGGGTGGGGTTGGGATAATATATGGGTACTGGTTTTCTCGGTGCTCGGTGATTTCTTGAGTCTGGTGTTTCCTGTTATTTTAGTTCTTTTTACTGTTTCAATGCACAATCTGGTGAACTTTAGGTAGCCAAACAAACTCAGTTCATCAGTGGTCTTGTATGCGGAACTATGCACACGTTATAGGTTACACAGTTTACCTTGCGTTTCTTCGATCTCATTCTTGGTTAATCTCTTCAAGTTTCTATTATTATTTATCATCATCATCATCATCACAATGCTTAGGCCATTACCCCCCAACCCCCCAATAGAAAAGCTGTAACGGACTGACCCCCCCCCCCCCCAAGAAACCTAATGTTTTCTGTATGTCAGCGCCCCTGTGTTATGGATACATTGCATAGCTCCCTGGCGGATTAGAAAACAACATTGCAGCAGATTAACGCATGTATTACCTGTCCGTGAGATTACATAAATATTGAATCTACTGCTTCAGGACAGTTCACTTTGGGCGGGATCGCCATCACCAGCAACAGCCGACATGTCTGGCTTCAACACAAAATGGAGTGGTGGGAAACCTGATGATAGTGTTGTCTTCACCACGTTTTCTCCCGCCCAAACTCAAGTGGTCCAGAAGGAGGGTACAGACAATCCTGTGTTTCTTGGCGATGGAATAACGAAAGATGAGGTAAACACCATCATCGGACAAGTCTCCAAAGGTGAGGATATCTATATACTTGGTTGGTTAGTTGTGTATCCTTTACAGGACGTTGCAGAATCAACCCCCAACAGCCCCTGACTGTTGTGTGGTTTTTCTAGGCAAATTTACGTCCAGAAGTTTGCCATTGCTTTCTGTACATATATATATATATATATATATATATATATATATATATATATATATATATATATATATATATATATATATATCAATTTATACAAATCACAAGTGTTGTCTCTTTTCTTACAAGGATGTGATGGTTGGACTCTAACTGTGGAAATGGAAATGAGGATTCAGGCTTTCGAATGTAAATGCTATAGACGCATTTTTACGGATTGGTTATTTAAACATAAAACTAACAAATATGTCAGAGATAAAATAAAAAAATTTGCAGAACATCAGGAGCCTCTCTTGGCAGTGGTGAAATGTCGCAAGTTAGTTTGGTTGGGACACGGGATGAGACATGATTCGATTGCCAAGACTGTACTCAACGAACATTTGGAGGTAGTCGAAGAACAGGAGAAGAACCTAGAATGACAACATCAGGAAACAGACAGGACTAATTTATCGTAAACTTATTCATCAAGCGAAAGACAGTGAAAGATAGCGGGTTTTATGTTCTAGTGATTCCGTCCATACACTACTACCCCGACCCTTACGGGTCAAGGGTTATGTTATGTTTATATTTTATTCATAGGTATACGCAGAAAAAATTAGGGGGGGGGGGTAGGGGCAAGTGCTCGTTAACCCCCCCCCCCCCCCACAGACTTTTTTTTTAAAAAGGCAAAGAACAAATAGGGGGGTCTAATCCTAGTTTTAGAGCGCGAGCATAATAACCTCATCATTATCCTAATCATAGTAACAATAATGTAAAAAGTACAGGACTCTGTTCCACGCCTTCAAGGGTATGGAGGGTGGTCTATATTTTGTAGCCCAATCGGCACTTGATGGCTGATGTGGAGACTTAGCCAAAGCAAAACCAGATAGACGTGGGACGCAAACGAAATAACTACCAGTACCAAAACAATCAACCCATGAAATAGCAGCAAATGAGGTACCACAATTATAACCAAAGCCCCCTCCCCCCTGCCGTGTAGGTTCCGAGACTCCATTGTGGGAGAAAACAACTAATTGGGGACATCCTTTGAAGTCGGAGTGCATCTGCCTGAGAGGCAAGGAACCACAGGTCTGCACACAGATTAGTCAGATCTGTAAAACGGAGGTGCATGCAACACTCAAGTTTTGGAGCAAGACTAAACTTTCCGCCGAGGTTTACAGCCGACGAACGCGGCAAAGAAGAAGATAACCAAAGCTCCAAAAACAGACGCTGATCGTGGTTTTTTCAAAGAATTCAAACTGACAGTCGAACATCGCATAGGCGCCAAAATCTGGAGCCCATGTTCTTCAAACAATCTCCCCTCTCCCCCCCCCCCCACCTCTCTCTCTCTCTCTCTCTCTCTCCCCCCCCCCCACCCTTCCCCCCCCCCCCCCCCCCCTCGACATCTTCTTGTTGTCTTAGTGAATCCAGGTTTCATTGATACCATGTTGTAGCCCAGTGTCGTGGTTTTCTGTATTTGTCTTACACTTTTCGGGTGGCTTGGATGATAGATTTGTTCATCTGTATGTAGGCTTCAGCTACCCAATTTACCCACCTCTTTCTTGGTCTCCCTCTCGCCATTCTCCCAAATGTTCTGCTCAACGTAACATCAGAAATGTGTCTCATATCTCTCTTTCCCAAACAATCGCTCTCTCTCTCGCAAACAGGCGCACACACACACACAGGCTCGCTGTTTCCCAAACAATTGCTCTCTCACACACAAACAGGCGCACACACACAGACAACACTAACGAGCACACACATTTACATACAAACACACACCATTATAACCCCTCTGCCTCTTTCAGGAGTCACCAAACTCTCCGAAGCCAAGACGAACGGGATCGATGTGGCTAAGGATGAACCCGGCAGCACAGACACGATCTTGGACAATCATTCCAGCACTAGGCTCTACTTTCGGAGATGGCCGATGCTGCTCTTGTTCTGTCTGTATTCCTTCAGCAACGCCTTTCAGTGGATCCACCTGAACATCATCGCAGATGTTATTCTTAAGTACTACAATGAAAGTTTACCCGCTGAAGAATATCAGGTAATTTGGCTGTTTCGTCTTTTTCTCATAAATGCTTTCTCATTGACTCAATAAGTATGCTCAGGAAGATAGAGAAGGGCTGGATCCGACAACAGTGTTTGGAGTCTCTAAAGCCATTGGCACTGACACATCTATGAGTGCCAAATTTGTGCCTAAGCAGGCAGACGTGCAAGAGATGACCGTTATTCATTACCGTTCCTATATGGTATGCAATTTTTCTTTATTTGAAGCCCTACCCTGGCTTTTACCGGGAGCCCTAAATATAGCCGGGCCATAAATATGGCCTAACGGCTGAACTGGGTTTCTGTGACCTCTTCACGGGTGATCCTTATCCGCATGGTGGCACTCTTTTTTGTTCTTTTGTTTCTTTTCTATATTTGTCAAATTTTTAATTGTGCATTCCTCTTTTTATTAATTATTATTATTATCAATTATTATTATTACTATTGACTATGAAATGAGGTAAAAATGAAACATTGTATGAAAGAAGCAGAGTGGAAGGGCAGAATGTTAGACGGGCCTGCGTGCCCAATTCTTAACCCTTTGAAAATAAAGTTTGTTCGTTCGTTCGTTCGTTCGTTCTGTGCCACCGAGTGTTTATCGCATTGTGTGATGTCCTTGTGGGGTACAGCTTACAAACATACATACAGATGTGCAAGGAAATTGGCAAGCTGATCTGCTTGCAGGTTAAGCTACCTACTATGGAGGGCGGACGAGCTATGGGCCATGCTGATATTCAGAATGCTCTACGAGAAGTAGAAATTTTGCGAGAACCAGGTGATGACTGTGAATCTGCAACAATGACCAGACTGCAAGAACAAAACGTTAAACGGTGACTATGGCCAGACAAGAGCACTATGTAGGAAGCCCAAGAAGAATAAGAAACCAACATAGAACTGGTGTCGTCAGCCGCTACACACTGCGGGATTGACTAAGGAGGGGATCCGAGCACTTATGGACTGAATGGTTCCATGTGCGATGACGATAATCTGTCGAGTAACTAACTCGATTCCAAATTGCGGTTATCACGTTACGTTGTGGTTTACGGCTAAGCTGCGCTATCTGTGCCTTTCGATCCAGCACATCTAAATTTAACAAAACCCTGATTAGTCTCCTTTTAGAACAGGCTTTAAGGTAATGTCGGCGTCTGTGGCTTAGGCGTTACGAATGCACTCTGTAATTTCAAGGTACCAGGTTCGATTACAGCTGAGGGTGAATTGACCAGTTGGTAACAGGAATAAATGAATAAATGAATGAATGAATGAATGAATGAATGAATGAATGAATGAATGAATGAATGAATGAATGAATGAATGAATGAATGAATGAATGAATGAATGAATGAATGAACTGACATCACTTCACTCGGCACATTGCCATGCGTGCTCCGTCACCCTTCCTGGGTAGCCAGAGAAGTCTTCCTCCTGATGATGCCAGTTACAGCCTCATTAAAAGTTTGCCACTATTCCCTCTGTGGATAGATGATCGCGCAGACCATCTGCTGAATTATTTGATTCGAGAGTCTTCAAGACGTCAGCTCTATCATAAAGTAGCTTACCGCACAGAGGGTCGGCAGCAAATATTTCAGCCTGCTCATTACCACAAAAACTCGAATATCCTGAACAAAAAAAAACAAAAACAAAAAAAATTCACGAAATGCTTCAAATGTGTCTTATCAATCAGTCCAAGCCACTCTGAGCGTAAGAGGCCTTTCCGCTTACATATGAATCGGATATTCTATATCCAAATGTGATTCACAGATATGTTCTAGAGCTTAAGTTTTGTCCGCAACTCTGGCTTCTTTGTATGTAGACTGCTGGCTCCTTGTCTCTCAGGTAGATGCACTCTGACTTCCAAGGTAACATCCCTAATAAGTTGTCTTTTGCGACATGCTTGTTGGAAAGGGGAGTGCAGGTCCCACATTAGGGACCCCGGAACCCACATAGGGGATTTGTATATACGATTGTTATCTTTCTCGTTTGCTCGCCAGTCCAACATTCCGTGTGTAGTTCTTTGTTCCCAGCACTATCAGCAGGTCAACTCTTCATAGGCTACTGAAGAAGGGGATAGAGTACGTGTGGGAATATCCCGAGTGCGTTGATGTCAATTCTTGATTGATTGATTGTTTCATTCCGTGCTTCTATTGATTGATCGACTGATTCATTCCAAGCTTGTATGTTCAGTTTTGACCCTGAATCTCTCCGTTCCAGCGGAACACAGCCGTCGACTGGTTGTCCATTGTCTACATGCTGGCCTACATCCCACTGATACTGCCCGCCACCTGGCTCCTGGACAAGAAGGGGCTGCGACTCTGTTGTGTAGTGGGGTCACTGCTGAACGCCTTGGGAGCTTGGCTCAAGTGTGCTAGCGTGTCTCCAAACAGGTACTTTATTACCATTGCCATTATTATGTGCCTGCCCATTGGCGTTGACGTTCTTGTGTCTTCGCAGATCTCTTTCCTGAGTGTTGTGTATCACGTCTGTTGATAGGCTTTCGTGACATAATCCATAATACCACAAGTACTAACTATAATACATACAAAATCACGTAACTGACGTTATCTCCGATAAAAAAAAAAATTACATCTCGGCCTGGCCTATAGAGTATTTGAAAGTGTGTGGCCACTGGAAAAAAAAAAGAGCCGCGAGGGACCAAGGCCAAAATTAAAAGACTTTTAGCGAAATTGTGTTGGCTGTTATGTCTCCTAGATAAGCTGGCGCCACAAGGTGGATAAGATTGTTCTCGAGAGACTTACTGATTTATTGAGTGGCTAGATTTGATGACCGTAACCGCCATGTAGGGGAAACTATGGTGATCATGATAATTGAAATGCAACGGAACTTAGTGATTGGTGATTAGTAAGGATAATCATCACAGCACTCCGGGCAGATCCATCGCCTCCTCCCAACCTTTACAAGTGTAGAACGACTGATGACGCCTGTTCTGTTTTGGTTAATGAAACATCTTGTCCCCTTAGTGACATGTTCATTTCTTACAGCTCCAGGCTGCAACCCTGCAATGAAACTCGATTTATTTCACCACTTTGAAAACATAAAAGAACAAGTTAAAAACAGGTTGGTCTCAGTGCAAAGACATTCTAGATACTGTTCATTGTTTTCTAAGTCTATGGCATATCCAACTCTAGCAGGTTTGTTTTCCGCCTCATCACTTCGTGTACTAGAATTTGTTTAGTTATTTCTCAAAATTCTATATCAAAAACTAAATCTAAATAGTATTATATGTGCATTGCTCCTTTCCTTCTCCCTCTCCTCCTTGTCCGACCTCCTTCTTTGCCTTTCTCCCCTTCTTCTCTTTCTCCCCCTCGTCTACTACATAAAACAGTAGTTAGAGTAGGCTGCATATTCAGATAAGTATATTCTTCTTACAGCCCTTGTCGTGTAACTTTGGTAGTCATACCTATCCACGGTCTTTTGTCTCGCGTTGCTTCCAACACTGATGGTACCGGTGCATATGATGTTTCTACAACCTTAGATTCCCCATTTGTTTAATGCCAATGCCAATAGATTGTAAATGTATAATAACAGTTAAAAGCGTTATTTTAGGAAAAGTACACAAATTTAAGTATCTAGGCACATGGATAACACCCAATGGAAGATGCATAACAGAGATAAAGAATAGAATAGGACAGGCCAAAACTGCCTTTTATAAAATGGGCAACATTTTGTGCAATAAATCTATGCCATTGAAGGTTACGAAAAGAATTATCGCATGCTATATAGAGCCAGATTTAACAGACGGTTGTGAAGCCTGGACAATTAAAAAACAAGCCGAACAATATCTTGAGGCCTCGGAGATGTGGTTTTACAGAAGAAACCTCAGAAGTCCTTGGACCGCTAAGAAGAGCAACCCAAATGTTTTGAAAGAAACGAGTGCTCGAAAACATCTTATCACAAACATCAGAAGGAGACAGTCGCTATTTTTTGGTTATCATATGAGAAGAGGGAACCTAGAACATGTTGTGACCACTGGAAAAATCTGTGGAAAGAGAGACAAAGAAAGACAGCGGGAAAAGATTCTTGACAGCCTTTTATCATGTCACAGAGGGACGTCAACACTTAAACTTATACACGCAATTGCTATGCAGTAGTCAGAGGTATTGATTCGTGGATACTAGGCAGTAGTCAGAGGCAATAATTCGTGGATACTAGGCAGTGGTCAGAGGTATTGATTCGTGGATACTGGGCAGTAGTCAGAGGCATTGATTCGTGGATACTAGGCAGTAGTCAGAGGTATTGATTCGTGGATACTAGGCAGTGGTCAGAGGTATTGATTCGTGGATACTAGGCAGTAGTCAGAGGTATTGATTCGTGGATACTAGGCAGTAGTCAGTGGTATTGATTCGTGGATACTAGGCAGTGGTCAGGGGTATTGATTCGTGGATACTAGGCAGTAGTCAGAGGTATTGATTCGTGGATACTAGGCAGTAGTCAGAGGTATTGATTCGTGGATACCAGGCAGTGGTCAGAGGCATTGATTCGTGGATACTAGGCAGTAGTCAGAGGTATTGATTCGTGGATACTAGGCAGTGGTCAGAGGTATTGATTCGTGGATACTAGGCAGTAGTCAGAGGTATTGATTCGTGGATACTAGGCAGTGGTCAGAGGTATTGATTCGTGGATACTAGGCAGTAGTCAGAGGTATTGATTCGTAGATACTGGGCAGTAGTCAGAGGTATTGATTCGTGGATATTACTCAGTAGTCAGAGGTATTGATTCGTAGATACTGGGCAGTGGTCAGAGGTATTGATTCGTGGATACTAGGCAGTAGTCAGAGGTATTGATTCGTAGATACTGGGCAGTAGTCAGAGGCATTGATTCATGGATACTGGGCAGTAGTCAGAGGTATTGATTCGTGAATACTGGGCAGTGGTCAGAGGCATTGATAAGTGGATTCTAGGCAGTAGTCAGAGGTATTGATTCGTGGATACTGGGCAGTAGTCAAAGGTATTGATTCGTGGATACTAGGCAGTAGTCAGAGGCATTGATTCGTGGATACTGGGCAGTAGTCAGTGGTATTGATTCGTGGATACTAGGCAGTAGTCACAGACATTGATTCGTGGATACTAGGCAGTAGTCAGTGGTATTGATTCGTGGATACTAGGCAGTGGTCAGGGGTATTGATTCGTGGATACTAGGCAGTAGACAGAGGTATTGATTCGTGGATACTAGGCAGTAGTCAGAGGTATTGATTCGTGGATACTAGGCAGTGGTCAGAGGTATTGATTCGTGGATACTAGGCAGTGGTCAGAGGCATTGATTCGTGGATACTAGGCAGTAGTCAGAGGTATTGATTCGTGGATACTAGGCAGTGGTCAGAGGTATTGATTTGTGGATACTAGGCAGTAGTCAGAGATATTGATTCGTGGATACTAGGCAGTAGTCAGAGGTATTGATTCGTAGATACTGGGCAGTAGTCAGAGGCATTGATTCATGGATACTGGGCAGTAGTCAGAGGTATTGATTCGTGAATACTGGGCAGTGGTCAGAGGCATTGATAAGTGGATTCTAGGCAGTAGTCAGAGGTATTGATTCGTGGATACTGGGCAGTAGTCAAAGGTATTGATTCGTGGATACTAGGCAGTAGTCAGAGGCATTGATTCGTGGATACTAGGCAGTGGTCAGAGGTATTGATTCGTGGATACTAGGCAGTAGTCAGAGATATTGATTCGTGGATACTAGGCAGTAGTCAGAGGTATTGATTCGTGGATACTAGGCAGTAGTCACAGACATTGATTCGTGGATACTAGGCAGTAGTCAGTGGTATTGATTCGTGGATACTAGGCAGTGGTCAGGGGTATTGATTCGTGGATACTAGGCAGTAGACAGAGGTATTGATTCGTGGATACTAGGCAGTAGTCAGAGGTATTGATTCGTGGATACTAGGCAGTGGTCAGAGGTATTGATTCGTGGATACTAGGCAGTGGTCAGAGGCATTGATTCGTGGATACTAGGCAGTAGTCAGAGGTATTGATTCGTGAATACTAGGCAGTGGTCAGAGGTATTGATTCGTGGATACTAGGCAGTAGTCAGAGATATTGATTCGTGGATACTAGGCAGTAGTCAGAGGTATTGATTCGTAGATACTTGGCAGTGGTCAGAGGTATTGATTCTTGGATACTAGGCAGTAGTCACAGACATTGATTCGTGGATACTAGGCAGTAGTCAGAGGTATTGATTCGTGAATACTAGGCAGTGGTCAGAGGTATTGATTCGTGGATACTAGGCAGTAGTCAGAGATATTGATTCGTGGATACTAGGCAGTAGTTAGAGGTATTGATTCGTAGATACTTGGCAGTGGTCAGAGGTATTGATTCTTGGATACTAGGCAGTAGTCACAGACATTGATTCGTGGATACTAGGCAGTAGTCAGTGGTATTGATTCGTGGATACTAGGCAGTGGTCAGGGGTATTGATTCGTGGATACTAGGCAGTAGACAGAGGTATTGATTCGTGGATACTAGGCAGTAGTCAGAGGTATTGATTCGTGGATACTAGGCAGTGGTCAGAGGTATTGATTCGTGGATACTAGGCAGTGGTCAGAGGCATTGATTCGTGGATACTAGGCAGTAGTCAGAGGTATTGATTCGTGGATACTAGGCAGTAGTCAGAGGTATTGATTCGTAGATACTGGGCAGTAGTCAGAGGCATTGATTCGTGGATACTGGGCAGTAGTCAGAGGTATTGATTCGTGAATACTGGGCAGTGGTCAGGGGCATTGATAAGTGGATTCTAGGCAGTAGTCAGAGGAATTGATTCGTGGATACTGGGCAGTAGTCAAAGGTATTGATTCGTGGATACTAGGCAGTAGTCAGAGGCATTGATTCGTGGATACTGGGCAGTAATCAGAGGTATTGATTCGTAGATACTAGGCAGTGGTCAGAGGTATTGATTCGTGGATACTAGGCAGTAGTCAAAGGTATTGATTCGTGGATACTAGGCAGTGGTCAGAGGCATTGTTTCGTGGATACTGGGCAGTGGTCAGAGGTATTGATTCGTGGATACTAGGCAGTAGTCAGAGGTATTGATTCGTGGATACTAGGCAGTGGTCAGAGGTATTGATTCGTGGATACTGGGCAGTGGTCAGAGGCACTGATTTTATGCAGACACCTACCGGAGTCGCCTAAATCTCCAGTGTTTGGCTTCTGATGTATCTTTTCTATAGATTTGCTTTGCTGATGTTTGCCCAAACCATCTGTGCCATTTCTCAAATCTGGGTACTGGGAATCCCCGCTCGACTGGCTGCCGTCTGGTTTGGACCTAACGAGGTATCTACAGCTACATCCTTGGGTGTGTTCGGCAATCAGGTAAGTCTTTAATATTGAATAATCTACAGATACATCCTTAGGTGTGTTCGGCAATCAGGTGAGTCTTTAGTACCTCGCTACCTCTGATATCTGCTCACTGTGTACCTGATCAGGAGTCGAGGAAACATGATACCACAGAACTTGGTTCTTCAAATGTTTCTCATTAAATTCTGGTGAACAGGTGGGTTAATTCATTCTGCAAACAAGGGGATGAATACGACAGGGATCAAACATAGTCCTTCACATACGTCAAGTGTTTTTTTATTAAAGGAAGTGTTAAATAACATAAAATATGACTATACATTTCAAAAGATGGAATGGAAAAGACGTGCACAAATACAGCCGAACGTTTCGACCGGACTCTTTATCAACAGAGTGCTAAAAACTCAACTAACAAGACTACAGAGTTTTAAAAGTTCTAGGCTTCTAAACAGAGCTTCTTGTCCGTTGGTTTTCCAGTCACTGTATTTACTGTATGGACAAACAGGTTAAAGCAGGTTACGGAATCTACATAGGTTATCCCGATGGATCTGTTGAAGAGATTTTTGATGCATGCGGGGAATTCTGTTCAAACTATGAAGCTGAAATAATTGCACTGGAAACAGCAGTATACCACCTAAAGACTGTAATGGATGTTTACCCTTCAAAGGTCCAAAATATTGTCATCTTCACAGATCCAATGTCTGCTCTTCAAGCTCTGGAGGGCAGTGAACGCTGCAGAACTGACATAGCCAAGATAATCCTGGATGCCGATCAGCTTTTTACCTCATACAACATCAGAATAGTGATGCAGTGGATTCCAGGTCACTCCGGCACACCAGGTAATGACAGAGCTGACAGATTGGCAAAGAAAGGAGCAACACAAGAACAACCACCTGCAACGACAACCCTCCAGACAGCAAAAACACTGATAAGAGCTATAAACAAAGAGACTTGGTTGAACAGATGGGCCATGGGAGACACTGGAAGAGAGGTTTATAGACATATGTCTGGCCCTGATCCTAATGACAGCATTAACCATCTAACAAGAAGGGACCAGGCCACCATCTTCAGACTTAGAACGCAACATACTCCACTCAATGGACACCTAAACAGAATACAGCCACAACACTCCCCAGAGTGCCAGCTATGTAACTACCCCTACGAAACTGTTGAACACCATCTCTTTGAGTGCCCAAAACTCAGTGAGACAAGAAGAACGCTACTTCCTCCGAGACCAGACAAGTGGAACACCTTGTACGGAGGAAAAGAACAGCTTGTGAAAACATGCAAATTCCACTACATGGCATTGGGCCAAAGGGCGAAAGCTCATGCGCCGCTGGATCGATAACAACAACATATGGACAAACAAAACGATTAACATCGAACAGCATAAGTCTTTACTACATTCGGTAGATTTTCCCTAACTGAATTTCTAAGTAATAATTGTAATACTTAGAGAGAAATACTTAACTTAAAATTTTTAATTTTAATTTCAAATCAATACTGTTCTATGGTGCTGAAACATACAGAACAGCTGAGGCGATTACTAATAAAATACAAACATTCATTAACTGGTGCCTGCGCAGAAAAGAGGAAATTAAATAGTATGATAAAATCAATAATGTAGAGATTTGAGAAAGAACTAAGCAAGCTCAGTGGACCAAGAGTTGAAGACAGACGCTGGCGTTGGATAGGACACACATGGCAACACAGTAGAACAATATAACTAAAGTGTCTTTGCACTGGAACCCACAAGGGGCACTGGAATAAAGAAAAGCCAAAAAGCACATGGAGAAGGGAGCTAGAAAATGAAGTTAGAAAGATGGGGAGGTCATGGGGAGAACTGCATGCGATAGCAAACGATAGAAAGACTTGGCGTGAGTTGGTTGATGGCCTATGCTCTACTAGGGGCTAGAAAGGCAGAGGAGAAGAGAGAGAGAGAGAGAGAGAGAGAGAGAGAGAGAGAGAGAGAGAGAGAGAGAGAGAGAGAGAACGAGCGAACGAACTTTATTTTCAAAGGGTTACAAATTGGGCACACAGGCCCGTCTGACATTCGGCCCTTCTAAGCACTCATTTTTCAGGGTACCAATACCTGTTATCAATAATGCATATTATGGATATAATAAAGAAATATAAATTATAGAATAATGCATACACACATCATTCGTACACAAACGTACACACTCCACACACGTATAAATACTCCTACGTTCTCATACATGCTACCTCATATACAGACATACGTGATACATTCACACACGCATCTACATACATATACAAACATAAAACACATACACATACGTAGACATAAATGCACAAACAGAAAACACACACACACACACATTTAATAATATACATGCACACACACATTCCATAGATATACACCTATACATGCATCCATGCATACACACATATACAATCACATGTACAGACACCAACATATGCCCACAACCACACATTTACACTTACATGAATACATTCACCCACATACATTCACATATACATGCATACATACACATATATGCATAACACACACATTTAGAGAGAGAGAGAGAGAGAGAGAGAGAGAGAGAGAGAGAGAGAGAGAGAGAGGGAGAGAGAGAAAGAGAGAGAGAGATAGAGAAAGAGAATCTCTAAGTCTTCTCTAATACCAGGAATTTTCTCCAAATCTCAGAACCCATCAAACTATTCCCTTTGTGACAAGAGAGTTAACAGCAGCGTAAATATCTCCTAAATGCCCGGTTGCGTCATCGTTATCTACACGTATACCCTGAACCAGACAGCCGCTGTGGTGTAGTGTCTAGATACTCACCTGCGGATCCGAAAGTCGTGAGTTCTGGTCCTAACTTTTATTTTCTTTCAAAAGTGACCTTGGCTCCCAGATCGATCTAGCCTTAAAAGTATACCAACTAAAGTCCCGGGAAGTAAAGGTGGTCGGCGTGACGTTGACCACATCACCCACCAAATGCCGATTAGTCTATGAAATATAGGTCTAGCCCTGCGTGCCCAATATGTCTGAAGGCATCAAAAAGAGTCTCTTACTAGGCTTAAACCCTGAACCTCTATAGTACTATCTTCTTCTTCTTCGCGTTCATCGGCTGTACACTCTGGCGTAAAGTTCTGGTTGTTCGTCCACTTCTGAACTGCAGTCCTGCTCCAGAACCTGAGTGTGCATCAGTTTTACAGATCTGATTCAATTGAATGCAGACTGCTGGTTCCTTGCCTCTCAGGCAGATGCACTCCGACTTCAAAGGAAGCTCCCCAATTAGTCGACTCTTACGACATGCTTTTGTGTAGGCAGAGGGTCTATTCTTGTTTTCCCCACGATGGGGCCCCGGAACCCACACGGAGATACAGTACTATGATTCCGCTGGACCAGGTCAAGTTCCTCACTGTCCATACGCCTTACACACACTGTCCAACAGGATTTATGTAACTCATATATTAATTTATCCTCCAGCTACTGTAGAAAAAGTAAATGGTAGAAACATCGTGAACATTGGTACATGGAATGTCAGAACACTCGTACAAAACGGAAAGTTAGATAACATCAAGATGGAAATGAAAAGAATGAACATCAACATATTAGGAATTAGTGAAATGCGATGGCCAGGAGCAGGTGAAAAGTATTCAGATCTGTACAGAATTATTTACTCGGGTGGGAAGGAATATAGTAATTGAGTTGGTATTATTTTGGATCAAAAGAACTCAAAAACTCACATCAGTTTTACAGATCTGGCTTATCTGTATGCAGACTGTTGTTTTCTCAGGCAGATGCACAATGACTTCAAAGGAAACACCATTAATTAGTCGGCTCTTACGACATGAGTGTTTATTTATATTGTTATATTTATTTGTCATTCAGCACATTATTACAGTGTATTACTATTGCGCACTTAAAAAAACCATAAGACCCTTAGGGACCTGTCAGCTAGAAAATTACAAAGCGTAGGACACCGTCGCCCTCCAGTTAATAATTTTCGGCGGCGCCCCTGGCCTCGGACGTAAAGAGTTAATAGAAAGAGTAATATCTCAGTATCTTTTTAGGGCCAGTGGCTAAGGTGTTGCGAGTCCGACTCGTAATTTTAACATACCGCAATCGAAACCCACTGCTGGCTGCGTGGATTTTTATCATGGTATGGAGCGTCACAGGTCGATCCATCCTAAAATGGGTAAAAGTTAAAAAAAAGTAAGTAAAGGACCCTTTCCACGCCTTTAGGCGTATAGGGCATATAGGGCTAGACCTATATTTTATAGACCAACGGCACAAGATAGGTGATGTGGTCAGCATCACGCCGGCCTAAAATGGGTACCAGGAAATATGTCCTGGGGAAGTGAAGACGGCAGGCGTAATGCTGACCACATTACCCACCTAGCACCGATTGGTCTGTAAAAATATGGGTGCACTTCCCATATGTCCAATGCACCCAAAGGCGTGAAAAGGGATCTTAACTTTACTTATCTTTTTCAGGTAGGAGTGGCGGTTGGGTTTGTGCTGCCACCAGTTATCGTCCCTGACTCCAACAGCAGTCACGTGGTTGGCGAAGAGTTGTCCAACATGGCGTATGGAAACGCTGTATTCGCAACAGTCATGTCTTTTTTAATCATTATATGTGAGTTGTCACATTCGGGTAACATTTGTGTCACCAAAATATTTAATACTTAAAAAATCAGGTTCTTTTCTGTTATTTCCCCCACATCACGGGGCCCTTGAGATTTGGTAGGAAAATAACCAGAACGTTCCATAGTACGGAAGGTGAGGGGGGTGTAGGGCTAGTTTAAATTAATTGCGACTACTACTAACCCTAACCCCCCCCCCCCCCCCCGCCCCCCCCCCCATACTATAGGACGTTCTGGGGAATTCTCTACCAAATCTCGAGGGCCCCATGATGTGAGGGGGGGGGGGACAGAGAAGAACTAAAAATCATACTATTATGACATAGGGCTCGCAATCGTTTTTTCCATTCCACTCTATCCCTTGCAACTGTGTTCTGGTTCGTCACTTCTGGTCTCTACCCTGAACGTTCATCTTTGTGTTTCTCTGGACGGCTCGCCTTCTCAATCTATTTGTTTCCTTTTAAGGTGCCTGTCTAGTGATTCTCTGCTAGCTTCTTCTTTGGCTGTGTCAAGTTTGTCGCCATCTTCTTTGTTTTATAAATGTTGGTGTCAGCTATGTTCTGACATTTATTTTTATTCTTTATCGTTTGTCCGATTAACGTAGATGCGTAGTGCCTGTTTAAAGCATATCTTTGATATTTGCCCCTGTCGGGCATTCACGTCGATGATAGTCTTCTCGGTTACTTTTCTGAGGCACTGACGGAGTTTTACAGCCTCATCTATGCAGGACTTTGACATCACCTGACCCACAGGTATTATTATTTGAAGACCCGTGAAGGACAACAGTGTGCAAACTAGTCGCCCCTCAATGGAGGGCGCAGAACGTGGGATTTAACAACCTCGTTTGCGGTTGGTTCGTCATCTCCCGATCCACAAGTGATGTCCCTACAGGATCTGTCCAGGTCAGCGGTACACAGACTTGTCGTTCTTCGGGGGCATCCAGGAGCCTTTCCAGCCATCCAGGGAGGTTTTTAAATTTAGAGCCCTGGTCTTGGGTAAGTTCAGAGCCGAAACATAGCCCTCTGGTCTTGGGTAAGTTCAAAGCCGATACATAGCCCTCTGGTCTTGGATAAGTTAAGAGCCGATACATAGCTCTCTGGTCTTGGGTAAGTTCAGAGCCGATACATAGCCCTCTGGTCTTACGTAAGTTCAGAGCCGATACATTTCCCTCTGGTCTTAGGTAAGTTCAAAGCCGATACATAGCCCTCTGGTCTTGGATAAGTTAAGAGCCGATACATAGCCCGCTGGTCTTGGGTAAGTTCAGAGACGATACATAGCTCTCTGGTCTTGGGTAAGTTCAGAGCCGATACATAGCCCTCTGGTCTTGGGTAAGTTAAGAGCCGACACATAGCTCTCTGGTCTTGGGTAAGTTAAGAGCCCATACATAGCTCTATGGTCTTGGGTAAGTTCAGAGCCGATAAATAGCCCTCTGGTCTTGGGTAAGTTCAGAGCCGATAAATAGCTCTCTGGTCTTGGGTAAGTTCAGAGCCGATACATAGCCCTCTGTTCTTGGGCTCGCACCAGGAATCGTCACTTTCTGTAATGACTGATTAACCTTACATCCGTATGTTGAGCCTTCCACTCTTTACCGGCTGCCCCATTAGGAATTCACAGGAAGACGTCTGCAGACCCGAGACTTTGATTACCTGCTGTTAAAAAATGTGTGTCATGTAGTAGGGACATTGAACAGTTTGCGGTCATATAGTAAAACGCTCGATGGACGATCATTTGAAACTAAGCAGTCATTAAGTAGAACTCTTGATTGACAAACATTTGAACCAGTATTTGTAGGAAAGAGAGGTTCTCGAACGCCAGACGTTTGAACCAATGTTTGTCCGCTTATTTCAGTCATATGTGAGTATTCATTTGGTGTTATCACTCTTGCACTAGGGGGTGGGCTGATGGATGTCAGAGGATCTCTGGATACTGCATCTCTGGGGGTCACCAACTCCGAGATTTTCTGCCATCTCGGTTCACGCCTTTAAATGCCATGGCGCACGATGTGGACGTGTGTCAGGAGTGGTGCATGAGGATCTGTAGAACTAACAAAGAGTATGCTGGCGCCTGATGTGAGGAGGTACACTACAAAGGAACAAGGCGGACCTGATCTCTTTCCTATGGGACAAGGCAACAAATACAATGGAAAATATTAAACACCCACACCTGGAGAGAAAGATGCAGCAGGAAGTGTCTATTAGCTCTCGAGGGAAAGGCAAGACGAGTAGTTAAGTAGACGACAGCGAGCACCATCCATGTGGAGACTCTTCGCTCGCTTGAGGGGGGGGGGGGAGACGGGACTAATATGAGCATGTCCTGCATGCTGTTGCATCGAATCACTACCCTGATTAGCCTTATACACCACACAGTGGCTTCAACTTCCCCTCATAGCAATGACTGAAGTCTCTCAATATTTTATACTATATAGCTCTTATGAACTATCATCCTAGCTCGCTCTCCTACGAATTACGCCTGGCAAACCATAGAGAGATGAAACCAAGGAGAAAACACCTGAAAGGAAATGGCAAGAAGTACACAGCTAACAATTAGGCAAGGAACGAGCTGTCTGACTCGAAGGAAGGAAGCATCAAGCCCAGAGACGGGGCAAATAATAAAACTTTAGTCACGAAAGGGACGCCTATGCTCCATTGGGGATAGAAATGCCAAAAAAAAAAGAAAGGTGCGATGCACTGCTTGAACCAAACTTGAATGGCGTTTCTAGGACATCCGCTAACTTTTCATATATTTAGAACATTAAGAGGTGTCGCTGCTGGCTAGGCTTACCACAACCTCCCCTCGATAAATTAACTAACTGACTGACTGACTGACTGACTGACTGACTGACTTTCTACCTCACCAGGACATCACACAAGCGGTAAACACCTGATGACACAAAGTGCCACCATGCGGATGAGGATCGCCGTGGAGAGGTCCCAGAAACCGCATTCAGCCTTTAGGCCATATTTATGGCCAGGCTATATTGCGGCCACTGGCAAGAGCCAGAGTAGGGCTTCAAATAACGAAAAATTGCATCCTAAAATGGACGGGAAATAAATATAGGGACGCAAATGAACCAGACCATAAATATAGATGTAGTGTTAGCAGTTTCGGCTAGCTAGTAGCAGTCTGAAAGCGGTCAAACTTTTAATATTTTTCTCAAAAGGAATCGGAATCGGAATCATCTTCCCCTCACTTTGTCGAAGATACATTTACATAGAATATTCTTACAACTGTGAAAAGTTGGAATCAGTGTTCACTAACTTTTAATTCTATTGGCCAGTTTTCCAAGACAAACCAAAACAGCCACCCAGTCTAGCACAGCAACATGCAATCAAAGCAGCAGCCAGTGAGAATTACCTGCAATCCCTCTACAGACTTTTCTCAAACTTTGGATTCGTGATGCTCACGGTTGCTTATGGTAAAGTGTTGTTTTAATTGCTTGATTTATTTACTCATTGATAATGTCTGTATATGGAAGCGACAGTTGTAGTTTCGCAAAGTTAAGTCCCTACAAAATCTTCTTCTTCGCGTTCAATGGTTGTACCCCCCAGAGAAAATTATGGTTGTTTGTCCACTTCTGGGCTTTGGTCTTGCTACGGAACTTGCGTTTTGCTTGCACGTGTGTTTTAAAGTTATGGTTATTTTTATGCAGACTATTGCTTCATCTTCTCTCAGACAGTTGCACTCCGACTTCGGAAAAAAACACCCATAATTAATAGCTTTTTACGACACGCTTTTTAGAGGGGCAATGTGTCTGTCCAACCCCCCCCCCCCCCCCCCCCACCCCCCCACCCCCACCCGCCTTTCCTACCAACACCAAATGAATCCCTGGAAGCCTCACATGGACATAACAAAATGAAAGATACAGGTAAGGATGTAAAGGACCCTTTCACACCACTGGTGCATCGTACACATGGTGTTAGATCAATACTGTCATACCCAGTGTGTATTCTGAATGATGTAAAAGAAAAACAAAGGTCCCTTTTCCACACCTTTAGAAGTATTGGGAATATCGGGCTAGACTTATATTTTTACAGACCAATCGGCACTTGATGGGTGATGTGGTAGCTTTACACCGGACGCCTTTACTTTCCCAGGACATACATCCTGGTACATATTTTAAACTGGGTCGACCTACGACAGCCTATGCCATGATGAAAATCCACGCAGCCAGCAGTGGGTTTCGATTGCGGTATGTTGGAATTACGAGTCGGACTCGCAACGCCTAAGCCGCCTCTGGATAATGTAGTCTACTTTAATGTATAAGGCTTTTTTGTTGACGGCGGATTTGTCTGTGAGTATTAGGTCAGTTGTAAAGCTCTGTCCCAATTCGGATTCGAACCGAAGACCTTCGAGTCAGCAGGCAATCGGCCAGCCCCTGAGATATCGTTGTTCTGGAGAAAAAAGCAAATGGATAAAAAAAAATGCTAACATAACTAATGCTTTCTGAGTGTCAGCGCCCCTAAAGCAATTCTACACTGTTGTCATCATCATCATCATCATCATCCAGTTACATGCGTGTCGCTGGGTCACCAGTTTCTGTTGACTGTCTGATCAGCTCTTCTCACCTTTGGCGGTCAGTTACGATAGACTTCATGGTAGCATGCCTGAGGCCTGTCTAATCAGTCAGGTTCTGTAAACAGGTCTTTCTTGGTCTGCCTCCTCTCCTCTTTCTGACCCCTGTAGTGTTGTTTTTAAGAGGCGGTTAAATCTTATTACAAGGCCATTCTATTTTATTTTTCGCTTTTCCCCTGTAATTAAAAAAAAGTTCATAGTTGCAAATGTGCTGTATGGCGAACCTGCGCGTTTGTAATGTGGTCTCTGTATGATATGCCAATCATCATCATCAGGTGACTTGCCGACTGGCGTGGGCTATCATGCCTCTCCATAATCTGACTGACTGACTGACTTTCTACCCCACCAGGACATCACACAAGCGATAAACACCCGATGACACAACGTGCCACCATGTGGATGAGGATCACCGTGGAGAGGCCCAGAAACCGCGTTCAGACATTTGGCCATATATATGGCTTGCCTATATTGCGGCCCCTGCCTCAAAAGCCAGAGTAGGGTTTCAAATAACAAAAAATTACGTCCTGAAAAGGACGTAAGGACTTCAAGCTTAACCTTGAAAACAAGAGAAGACAACCATAATCTGCGATCTCCTGCATCATGTATCATTTCGGGATATGCCAATAATGTTTCTGAAACACTACTTTACCATGAAAAACTAAGTATGACTTTACTAATATAGCCATGTTTCTTTTCTTGCAGGAATCAACACGGGCTCCTACTATGCTATATCAACTCTGCTCAACGCAATTATTTTGTATTACTTTCCGGTGAGTTATTTTTTGTGTGCAATTGTGTGCGGACATTCAAACCAGAGGTTCGCCCTGGCGGAGCGGCTAGAGGCTTGCCTGCGGATCGGAAGGTCGTGGGTTCGCTCCCTGGCACAGTGGAATTTTTTTTCAAAAATGACCTTGGCTCGCAGGTCGATTCTGCCTAGAGTGGGTACCGGGTGCAGTCCCGGGAAGTAAAGTCGGCCGGTGAGATGCTCACCACATCTTGTGCCGATTAGTCTAAAAATATAGGTCTAGCCCTATATGCCCTATACGCCAAAAGGCGTGGAAAAGGGTCCTTCACTTACCTTTTACATTCAAAATCAAATTAGTTTAGCTGTTTTAATTGTGCTGTTACCTGGGACTCACTGTCCTATGCGCGCATCATCATTAAGTGCCTGGCTATTTAATATAGGCGATCATGCCTCTCCGCAATCTGCGGTCTTCAACAGCATGTATTAGTTGTGTGCTGACGCACCTCGATACTATGACATAGAATACATGTTAGTTGCGTATCCTTTACAGGACGTTGCAGAACCAACCCCAACAGCCCCTGGCTGTTGTGTGGTTTTTCTAGGCAAATTTACGTCCAGTAGTTTGCCATTGCTGTCTGGACGGTCGGCCGGCTTTCTTGATACCACTGTTGAAACCAACGCAAGGCGCATGGCCCGCAGCTGAGATCGAACCCGGCATCCCGGCATTACGAAGCGTTCGCATCGACTTAGCCACAGAGCCGACATGACATAGAATAGTTCTATAAAATACCTCAAGGCTCTGTGATATGGCCATTGGCGGGTAAGAGGCGGCATAATACCCATCTATCCCCCCCCCCCACCACCACCCGAGACTGTTTAGATCAATGATTGAAGTTTAACACGTTCGTACTTGTAATGATCTGTTATGCTAACATTTCTTTTTCACTTTCGTTATAAACGCAACATTTAAACAATTTATTATCAGACAAAACAGCAACACGAAATTGTGCAGGTGGTCTCTGGCGTGACTCTCGTCAGTATTGACGGCCCCGTCTTAGGTTTGCCATGTCCTTACGATTTTCTAATTTACAATTACACAGGTGCTGCTGTTTTACAAAAGCGGCGAATTTCTTTAATCTTAGTCGGAATAGCCATTTGTACACCCTTTAAAAAAATATATTCACCGTAACTGATAAATTTGTTTCTTTAAAGAACAAGAACGTAGAGCAGCGGTTCTTAATGTATGGGTCACGACTAGGGCTGTACCGAATAGTGATTTCCACTATTCGGCCGAATACGAATAGCTGGACCAACTATTCGGCCGAATACGAATACGAATAGGGAATCATCATCATCAGGTGCTTTGCTGACAGGCATGGGTGATTATGCCCTGCCACAATCTGCGATCTCCTGCAGCATGTATTAGTTCGTGTGCTGACACACCTCCATGCCATGCAACAAGACTGTCAAGAATCTTCTCTCGTTGTCTTCCTCTATCCCTCCTTCCACATATCTTTCCAGTGGTCACCACATGTTCCATTTTCCATCATTTTATAACATGGCCAAAAAATGATGACTGTCTCCTTCTGATGTCTGTTTCTTCTTTCTTCTTCTGCGTTCGACCTCAATCATGCTAAACATTAAGTCCCGTCTGGGTCAAAAATAGGATTGTGCGTTTAAGGTCGCCACCGGTCCCCCATAGCTTCTCTCGCAATGTGGATCCCCTGGGCCAGCTCCACAGTCTTTGCTGGGAGAGGTAAGGGCAGTACTGTAGTATGTGTTCAGGGGTCTGTTTTTCTGCTCCACAATCACAGGCAGCAGATTCTTTAATGCCTATCCTGTACAGGTGTGCTCGAAGACCACAGTGTCCAGTCCGATGTCTATGAGTAGTTGTCTTCGGGCTCCCGCCTCTTTCAAAACCTCTTGGTTGCATTTTTTTTTTTTTTGGGGGGGGGGGGGGGGGGGCTGTACACGGTATTTTAAGCATTGTTCTGTAAAACCACATCTCTGAGGCCTCAAGAAATTCACAGCCATATGTTAAAACTGGATGTATGTAGCAAGCAAAAAAGCATAAGCTTTAAAAAAAAAAAAAAACACACACACACATACAATCGTTCCATGTTGTCAGCATTAAAGCAGCTTCTTGTCTCACTTAAGGTATTTCCAGCTGTACTAAACAGACGTTCACTTGGTACGCTCGTAGGTGGTGCACACAGTAACGCTTGACAGTATGAACCAAGGTGGGAAATCTTGATATGTTCATTTTTCACCAGTCCAGAAACGGGTGTAAGGTAACCACTATTCGTATTCGGTCCGACCGCAACTATTCGGCCGAATACCGAATAGTTATTAGGTCCACTATTCGGCCCCGAAGCGAATATGAAGCGAATATTCGGTACAGTCCTAGTCACGACCCTTTTTGGGGTCCAACGAACCTTTCACAGGGGTCGCCAAAGTTCATCGCAAAACACACATTCATTGAAGTTATGAAGTAGCGACGAAAATAATTGCATAGTTGGGGGTCGCCACAACTCGAAGAACTGCATTAAAAGGTCGCGGGATTAGGCAGGTTGAGAACCATTGACGTACTACTACTACTACTACTACTACTACTACTACTACTACTACTACTACTACTACTACTACTACTACTACTACTACTACTAATACTTCTACTTTAGTATGAGTTTCTCTTCCTTTCGAGGGTCTTCGTGACGTTGTGATCGCTAGGGATCGTCGATGGAGCTACGGAGTTTGAGCTTGTTTATAGCTCTCAGAAGGCAGCTGACCGTTTTGTAAAGAGAGAGGCCATGTGCTGTGAAATCCTACGCAATGAAGTCGATCCTCCCGACTGGACTCTACGACTTTCCTTCACTATATGACAAAGATGCTTCCCTTCATTATTCCGATGCTAGACTCCAGCACTCGCACTTCTTTCGCACCATTTTCTCTCTATTTCCATACACCCCCCCCCCCCACACTCTCAATCTCTCTTTATCTCTGTTACACACCGTTGAAATTGCTTTCTCTCTCTTCCTCTCTCTCTCTTTATTTCCTCTTCCTCTCTCTCTCTCTCTCTCCCTCTCTCTCTTTCTCTCTTTTCTCTATCTCGCTCTCTTCTAGACATCCTAGACATTAACCACCCTCTCTTCCAGACACCCTAGACATTACCCACCCTCTCTTCCAGACACCCTAGACATTAACCACCCTCTCTTCCAGACACCCTAGAGATTAACCACCCTCTCTTCCAGACACCCTAGACATTAACCACCCTCTCTTCCAGACACCCTAGAGATTAACCACCCTCTCTTCCAGAAACCCTAGAGATTAACCACCCTCTATTCCAGACAACCTAGAGATTAACCACCCTCTCTTCCAGACACCCTAGACATTAACCACCCTCTCTTCCAGACACCCTAGAGATTAACCACCCTCTCTTCCAGACACTCTAGAGATTAACCACCCTTTCTTCGAAACATCCTAGACATTAACCACCCTCCCTTCCAGACACCCTAGAGATTAACCACCCTCTCTTCCAGACACCCTAGACATTAACCACCCTCTCTTTCAGACAACCTAGAGATTAACAACCCTCTATTCCAGAAACTCTAGAGATTAACCACCCTCTTTTCCAGACACCCTAGACATTAACCACCCTCTCTTCCAGACACTCTAGAGATTAACCACCCCCTTTTCCAGACACCCTAGACATTACCCACCCTCGCTTTCAGATACCCTAGAGATTAACCACCCTCTCTTCCAGACACTCTAGAGATTAACCACCCTCTCTTCCAGACATTCTAGAGATTACCCACCCTCTCTTCCAGACACTCTAGAGATTAACCACCCTCTCTTCCAGACACTCTAGAGATTACCCACCCTCTCTTTCAGACACCCTAGAGATTAACCACCCTCTCTTCCAGACACTCTAGAGATTACCCACCCTCTCTTCCAGACACTCTAGAGATTAACCACCCTCTCTTCCAGACATCCTATAGATTAACCACCCTCTCTTCCAGACACCCTAGACATTACCCACCCTCGCTTTCAGATACCCTAGAGATTAACCACCCTCTCTTCCAGACATCCTAGACATTAACCACCCTCTCTTCCAGACAACCTAGACATTAACCACCCGGTCTTCCATACACCCTAGACATTAACCACCCTTTCTTCCAGACAACCTAGAGATTAACCACCCTCTCTTCCAGACCCCCTAGAGATTAACCACCCTCTCTTCCAGACACCCTAGAGATTAACTACCCTCTCTTCCAGACACCCTAGAGATTAACCACCCTCTCTTCCAGACATCCTAGACATTCTTCCACTTTCTCTCTCTCCCAGGGTGAAAGAGACAATGCCGGAAGAATAGGGCTGGTCATTGTTCTCACTGGTATCATAGGTTCCGTGTTAGCAGGTGTGTGGCTGGACAAAACCAAAACTTTCAAGTAGGTACTGGATTTATATTTTTATTGATGTAATAGATGCAGTGCTGCAAAAATCGCTTTCCTTTATGCAAGAGACATTTGAGACATGAGTGGATATCTAGTTTCATGACCTTCAGATTACGTGGGCTCATGTGGACAGCAAGTACGACAAGGCTATTCAACTAAATCTACTCAGGGGCCAAATTGTGAAAATAGGAATCGTCACGGGCCAAAATTGGGAAAATATGAATAGTCACGGGCAAAACCCCTAAATCCCAACATAGAAATATCGTTAATATAAAACAGTTGGCAATGATTCGTGGGCCGCCAGTTGAAAAGTCCTTGTGTACGGTATGTGTAGGAGTGCGGGGCAATAAAAGAGGGGATTTTTTGCTGGAAAAGCGAAAGCGATAGGAACGTTCATACTGGACAAGACGGCCATTCTGAGTGATGACTGAAGATATAATGTTGGATTTAACAAAGTATATAAGATTGCGCCATTTTTTAATTTAAATGCGAGTCCAGAAAGAGATTTCGAACAGGAGGAAGAGTCTGAGGTGTGTACAACCAGCGTGATGCTGGAACAGTCAGCATCTACACCTTAAGGCAGCAGTTCTCTACCTGTGGGTCGCGACACCTTTTACAAGAGTCGCCTTTAAAACCATCGGAAAAAACCATCCTGGGGCTGTTGTGTCGTTTTTCTAGGCAATTATGCCCAGTAATTTGCCATTGCTTTCTGGGCCGTCAGCTTTCTTGATACCACTGTCGAAACCATCGCAAGGTGCATGGCCCGCAGCTGGGATGGAACCCGGCATTACGAAGCGTTAAAGTTATGATGTAGCAACGAAAACAAATTTATGGTTAGGGCGCTCAGAACAACATTGTGGACTGTATTAAAGTGTCGCGACATTACACAAATTTAGAACCGCTGCCTCAAGGCATTTGCCGCTGGAGACGGGGCATCCATGAGTGTGAACCCCCCTCTAAAGATTTCTTTGTGTCGGCGCCACTGTCCGGCTTCATGGTGATGTTTAAAAAAAAAAATATTACAGCACAAGAGGCGAATGCTCGGAAACAACTTATCGCAACCGTCAGTAAGAGATAGTCATCATTTTTGTGTGGTCATGTCATGAGAAAAGGGAAACTGGAACTTGTTGTGACAACCAGAAAGATCTGTGGAAAGAGAGTCAGTGGAAGACAGCGCGAGAAGATTCTTGACAGCCTTTTGTAATGACATGAAGGGGTGTCAGCACATGAACTGATACACGAAGTTGCCGGACACAGATTGTGGAGAGGCATGATCGCCCACGCCAGTCAGCTAGGCACATGATTGTGATAATGTAAATATTACTGTAGTATAGTGGTTCGACATTAGCCTACCGGTTTGACGGTGTTGGGTTAGAATCCATATCGGGCAGAAACTTTTAATTCTAAATTGCCCTTGGCTTCTAAACTGTCCATGCGTGCTCCTTCCTCATCTTCAGCAGCCAGCGCAGAGTTCCAAAACTAATGGTACCGGTCACAATCTGGTTATATGTCAGTCTTGCCTTTCCTCTGAGTGTATTGAGCCGGCCAGACCCTCTGGTTACACACAGGTGCCTTATTCTCCCCAGGCCATAACAATATCCTAAAATGAGCACCAGGTAATGTCATGGGGGGGGGGGCGGGGCAGCCGGGGTAACATTGACCGTATGGCTCACCCAGTTTGTGTTGACTGGTCTATCAAATGTGTGTCTAGTTTCGTTTACCAGATGCTCCGCATGCGCAAAAAGGTTTTTTTTTTTAATCGTTTTGTTTGTGTCTGTAAGCATCGCTTTAGAGGTCCCGCCTAGTTAGCGTCCTTTGGATATTTTCTCCAGGGTATGAGGGTGTGTTGGGAAACGAACATGCATATAGACGCTGTTTTTGCACCACCTAGTGGTGTACTGATGCAATTCAAGCTAAATATTGTAAAGACCCTTTGGAGACGCGCAAACAGTGCGGAGACACAAATAGGTCATCAGGGTCTGAAGAGAATGGTGCAGAAAATGGTGACCGATCTGGTCGAAACTAAAGACTAATGGAAAAGGCCAGGGCAACGAAATGAATTGTATGGCTGGGGGTTGCTACAACATCAGGAACTGTATTAAACGGTGGCCGCATTGGGAAGGTGACAAACACTGCTCTAATATGAATGTAGCAAGTGCTATGATGTCGGTTCTCATCTCAACTGTTCATTTCTTCTGCAGAGCAACAACTGCAGTAATTTACGTGTTATCGGTTGCTGGGATGGTTGCCTTCACCTTCACCCTTGACCTCCACAAAATCTGGGTTGTCTTTCTGACATCCGGTGTCCTGGGGTATGTATTGCTCATTATTTTACAGCTATAATCAAAACCAAATTAGATCGAGACCAGAAACGTCAACACAAATAAAGCAGACAGGTAAGAGAGCAGAAATGTGATCTGACCTAGCTGAAAGTGGTCAACTTAAGAGAATTAGAATTACAGCTATAATATTAATGCAAAGCTTCTTGTTTATGTACAACACATAAAGGGTTGAACTTGGTATCTGGGAATTGTCCATTTTGATTAGCCTCCAGGATACTACTTTTCTTAGTCGCAGAAGTGGTACAGTTTTTGATGACTACCGGCATATTTTTTATACACTTTGTGGTGAGTATTGACACCTTCCTTTCTAGAAAAAAATACCTCTTCATTACTACGTACATTTATATGAGTAATTATTTCATTCTAGTAAAAATAAAAGTTGGTTTTTACCCTCTCTGTGCATTAAAGCGTCGTATTTATATACTGTGTAGAAGTCAGGTGTGTGGCCTGAAAAACATAAACTCGTTTTACGCGGTAAAAGGGGATATCGAGAATGAGAAAAGGCAGCAACGAGAAGAAGAAGGAGGAGAAGAAGAAGAGGACGACGACGACGAGTTGGGTGGAAATGAAGAGGAAGAAGAAGAAGGAGAAGAAGAAGAAGAAGAAGAAGAAGAAGAAGAAGAAGAAGAAGAAGAAGAAGAAGAAGAAGAAGAAGAAGAAGAAGAGCAGGAGGAAAATAAGGAGGAGGAGAGGGAGAGGAGGAGGAGAAGGAGAGGAGGAGGAAGAAGTACAGCAGCGGAAGCAGTAGCATCAGTAGTAGCATCAGTAGTAGTAGTAGTAGTAGTAGTAGTAGTAGTAGTAGTAGTAGTAGTAGTAGTAGTAGTAGTAATAGTAGTAGTAGTAGCATCAGTAGTAGTAGTAGTAGTAGTAGTAGTAGTAGTAGTAGTAGTAGTAGTAGTAGTAGTAGTAGTAGTAGTAGTAGTAGTAGTAGTTTAGTAGTAGTAGTAGTGCTGGTAGTAGTTGTAGATAACGTCCTAACGATTTTTAACGGACGCTCGTTACACCACTGAATGTAAATCACAAATGAACTGTTACATTCAAAGTTTCAAGGGGAATGATCTTCTTTTTTTTCCCCCCAGGTTTTTCATGACAGGCTACCTTCCTGTGGGTTTTGAGTTTGCTGCTGAGATCACTTTTCCGGAGTCTGAGGGCACGTCATCGGGGCTGTTAAACGCTAGTGCCACAGTAAGCTCGCCATTGTTCATTAAACATGTTAAGAATGCATGCATGAATTAATTAATTAATTGAGGAATGAATGAATGAATCGACGTCACTGCACTGGAGAGATTCCCTTACGTGTTCCGTCAGTTATATGGCGCTTGAAACATGACATAATACTGTGATTCTCAAACTGTGTCGCGATCTCTTCACGGTAACGCAGCGAAATATTGTAAAAGCTTGATAAATAGTTTTAAAAAGACACGAATAGTCATACTTTTACTTAGGGCGCCGTGGAAAACATTTAATTGAAAAAAGGCACCGCGACCAAGAACAGTTTGGGCACACTGACATGTTACATAAATTTAATATGGTGCGCAAATAATTGATTTCAAAATGTCAACAGTGGTTAAACGTACACCCTATAGGAGGGGAAAAAAATAGAAAGTAAGAACGGTGAATTACTGAACCATTACACATTATTGAACTGTTTATGTCAATTTTCCAGATCTTCGGTATAATCTTTACTCTGGGCATGAGAGCAATGCTGGACTCTATATCTGCCCTCAGTGCCAACATAACTCTCTGTGCTTTTCTCTTCGCCGGCGGAATTTTGACAGGTAAGCCAAGAATGCCATTTCAGTAACTCCGTTTCTTATCAATCAATCAATCAGGTGCCGTCATAGAAAAGGTCAGCTTCAGTAGTTTTGCAACACTCCGCAGTCTTTTTTATCTGTCGTTCCCTTTTACCCCCCCCCCCCCCCCTTTTTTTTTTTTCATGTCTACCCTCAGTTTTGTCTAGTGCATATGCATTATTTCGGAACTGCAGTACCCTCTATTTTACTCATTATTACCTGATTTTAACAACAACATTAACTCATCTCAATAATATCTACAACATTCAACATAGTTTTGAATATAGTTTTTATTCTTTCATTTTACTTGATTAGTAATGATAATCGTAGGTAGGTGGTTGTACCCCATTATTACATCAAAGCGATAAATACGCGGTGACACCAAGTGCTATCATGCGGATGAGGATCACCCGTGGAGAGGTCCCAGAAACCCCTTTCAGCCGTTTAGGCCATATCTACCCCCCCCCCCCCCCCCTGGGCTACATCCAGGGCCTCCGAGAAAGCCAGGATGGGGCTTCAAAATAAAAAATAAAAATAACATTAAAATAGGTAACGAGTATGGTACACCGCCTGGTAATAAAGGGGAGAAAAAAACCAATGAGTAAATCTACGTTAAGGAACTGCGTTTCTGAATTCCAGCGACTGTTGTGCGCATGCGTACATGTCCGAGTTAGAAACTGCAACTTAGGAATGAATCAGGCTTGAACGGTCACAATTTAGGTTATGAGCAATTGTGTGTGTGTAAGTGTGTGTGTGTGTGTGTGTGTGTGTGTGGATCGATCTGTTTGTACCCTCTGGGTTGCTACCTAAAAGTTTACCATACCACCCTGAGATTGTAAAATCTCCGTCTGAATAGCTGATCACAAAGATCAACTGTTGAACTTCTGTTTCTGCTTAGCCCGTTGGTTGAAACTGGTTCTGATAGCATGCAAGAATTCTTGTTCCTGCCTTCAGTGACACGATTTATTGCATAACACGTACTTATACAGACAGACAGACAGACAGACAGACAGACAGGCACAGACAGGCAGGCAGACAGGCACAGACAGACAGACAGGCACAGACAGACAGACAGACAGACAGACAGACAGACAGACAGACAGACAGACAGACAGACAGACAGACAGGCAGGCAGGCAGGCAGGCAGGCAGGCAGACAGACAGACAGACAGACAGACAGACAGACAGACAGACAGACAGACAGACAGACAGACAGACAGACAGACAGACAGACAGACAGACAGACAGATAGATAGATAGATAGATAGATAGATAGATAGATAGATAGATAGATATATAGATAGATAGATAGATAGATAGATATAGATAGATAGATAGATAGATAGATAGATAGATAGATTAGATTAGATAGATAGATAGATAGATAGATAGATAGATAGATAGATAGATAGATAGATAGATAGATAGATAGATAGATAGATAGATAGATAGATAGATAGATAGATAGATAGATAGATAGATAGATAGATAGATAGATAGATAGATAGATAGATAGATAGATAGATAGATAGATAGATAGATAGATAGATAGATAGATAGATAGATAGATAGATAGATAGATAGATAGATAGATAGATAGATAGATAGATAGATAGATAGATAGATAGATAGATAGATAGATAGATAGATAGATAGATAGATAGATAGAATGTGATACAACTTCCATCAGATGCTATCCGATATAGCGTACTGCGGGACAAAAAGCCCTTGTCCTAATATTTTATATATTATGTGATCTTGGAGGTATGAGATACAACATTTGAATTCAACAAATGTAGGGCATAGTATACCGTGTATCTTGTTGTATTGTCTATGTACTATTTGTAGTTTGTAGCAGCTGAAGCGTGTGCCAAAGCACTTGTATGTTTCTGCACTTTTAGTGATACAGTACATATTTACAAGACAATATTTTCCCGTAAGGAATTCCCAAAAACGAGGACAGTATACTATGCACGTCTTCTGAGATTTACTGAAGTGGTTGGGATAAAGACTAGTAACCCAAGTTTATGTAAAACGTTGACCCTGTGGTTACTGGAAGGCTTCCTCGATGAGTTGGAGTGCAACAACGGAAAATGCCATTTTGTAATGGCGGTGCCAGAAAGAAGCCATTGGGCGGGGAAAAGTTGGGGGTGTGCCCCCCTTATATATTTTAGGGAGCCACTGAGCTCGGGCCTTGTTTAATTGCAAAATTATGAGCTGAGTGGTAAAATAAATATATTTGAAGTATGAAATGCATAAACACATACTTAAAAATAGATGTTGAGTGGGTACGTAGCTCCACCTTCGGAAAAATTATTTAGGCGGGGAAAGCAGGCGCTGAGTACCCCCAAATACTGTTGGGCGGCCTTGGCCTTAAAAAAACTTGGGTGGGTGGGGGGGGGGGGGCGCTAAAGTAACCCGAACCTCTAAATTTCGGCACCTATGCCATTTTTAATGTCAATTGACGCCATTAAATATTTTGCTTTGTTGTATATGTGTATGCAAATTCTTTAGTACACACTTGGTCAATGTAGCAACAAATGCCAGCAATAATTTGTGTAGTGTGCCGAGCAGACCGCTTAAGGTGATCTACAGTGTCGCGAATTTCTGTTGTGAAGAACAATTTGTTGGCAATACTTCGAAGGGCCACCGTAGGGGACACAATCCATTGTTTGTAGACGTTCAAATAATAATGTTCTGTGTTGCTTCAGGTCAGGGTTAGTCCTAATTTTAAACATAACCATAACCTCAAGCATTATCAAATATGAAAGAATGTCATATGTAAACTTACATAAACAATTGTTGATAGGGTTGACATTTAAAGTATTACTGATTTAGTACAGATTACTTCTTCTACGGTCGCCTTTTGAAGTATTGCAGTTGTTTTTTTGTTATTTTGAAACCCTCGCCCTGGCTGTTGCCAGGAGCCCTAATATAATCTAAAGGATAGAACCTAAATGTTATACAGGGTTTCTGGTGCTCCTCATCCGCATGGTGACACTTTATGTCACCGCGTGTTTATCGCTTGTGTGATGTCCTGGCGGGGTACAATTTACTTACTTACTTCACTGCAGTTTGTTTTTCCCCGGCAATTTCTCTTGCTTGAACTCTTATTCGGATACGACGAACTTCTTATAAGAAGAACTGTTTACTGGGTCCCCGGTAAATTCTCTTTATCAGGTCTGCACTGTAATATCTGTTTCCTCAACACGTGACAGTAAGTGAATTAAACGTATGACGGAGTAAGGGTTAATGAAAGTAATGAGAGTATGCTTTGTATGGATAGAGCTGACAAAATCAAAGCTGTACGAACTAGATTTATGCTGGACAATGACGAGACTTAGACGCTAACCCGATTACGTTAACTGGGAGTAAAGCCTGTTGAATCCTGTCTGCGTCCTCATCAAGGTCAAGATAGGAGACGTTATGCCAGAGTCTTTGTGGTGAAACCGTTTGCCTCGCGTTCTGAAGGGAGTGTGTTCGTTTCCTGTTATATCTTCTGGTTCATCTGTGCTACACTTAGGGATACCCTTGGGGTTCGTCACCAGTTCGTGCTTTGTGCAGTGCTTTCAGCGGGCGACTAACCGTTCTGCAGCGAGAGAGAGAGAGAGAGAGAGAGAGAGAGAGAGAGAGAGAGAGAGAGAGAGAGAGGGCTATACGGGATTTAAAAAATCAGTTACAATGAAGTCAGTTCCTCTCGACTTTAACTCATTCAGTCCCAAACAACGCGTAGTGTGTGATGTGTTCCTCCTAGTGACGCTCAACCATCCAATAATGTGTTCTCTAAAACTCTAAGTATAGTATGTGTATAACATAGCTTTCTTTCTACGTGTACCGACCAATACATTGTCTGTATGTTTATTATATATAATGTTTTATGGCCTCAAGGGTTCCCCTACCCTTTTTCTGTTTATTTATGTGTAAAACATTTGTGTATACAACATAACTGAAGACTGGTTATTTGGACGATTCACACACACACACACACACCTATATATTTTATCTTCTAGCTGCCATTAAACCAGACTACAGAAGACAAGAAGCTGGGGCGCTGCACGAAGACAAGACACCAGCTAATAGACAAAACCTTTCCTGAAGGGGCGCTGAAGGCAAGACACACCAGCTAATGGACAAAGCGTTTCCTGAAGGGGCGCTGAACGAAGGCGTTTCCTGAAGATCTGAGAAGAATGTGCAGCAATTTCAGTTATATCCCCTCCGTTTGAACTCAGGGACACTGAACTGACAGTGTGTCCAGACACTATACCTTCTTCATCTGCGTTCGCCTTAAAAAAGCGGTTGGCGTGCTCTGTTGTGGTTTACAGCTAGGGTGTGATATCCGCACCTGCCGTGGCAACATACTCGATTTCATTAAACTGTTAATTTGTTATTAATTAATTGAATCTGATGCACAGAACCCACAAGGTAGGTAGGTAGGTAGGTAAGTAGGTACGTTGTACCCCACCAGGACATCACACAAGCGATAGACACCCGGTGACACGAAGTGCCACCATGAGGATGAGGATCACCCGTGGAGAGGTCCCGGAAACCCCGTTCTGCCATTAGGCCATACTTAAGGCCCGGCTAAATTTAGGGCCCCCGGGAAAAGCAAGGGTGGGACTTCGAAATAACTAAAAAAAACTGCATCCCACAAAGGGATGACAATAACTTAGAAGCCACTAGAAATTCAGGGATTTGTAACTGGTCTGCGTGGTTGTCGCTTGATGTTTTCATATTAATGTAATAATCACCAGTGTCCCAGTGTCAATATATGCCGAACAGGCTCACAGTCCGTTCGTCCATTCTGTTTCATCATATGTAGTCAAAACCATGAATGGACTCCAGTCCAGCACCGTTTGCATCTCTTATGAACATTCGTTTTAGGGTTTATTTTGGGCGTCCTTATTCCGTCTATATCAAATTGTAGTGATCCTTTGCTCGTTTTTTTTCTCCTCAGGATTATTCAGTGTGGCGCCATCTTATTTGGCTTATAACTTACCAGTGGTTGCCTAGCATTTCTTTTATTTCTTCAGGCTTAGATGTTACGAACGCGCTTCGTAATGTCGGGTTCGATCCCAGCTGCAGATGATTTGGCAACAGACCGTCTTGCGTTGGTTTCGACAGTGATATTGAGAGTCGACTAGCACACTACTAAACGTTCAAAAAAATGCCTCGCAAAAAAACAAAACAGCTACAACAAAAATGCTAGGGTTTGGTTCTACAAAGGATACGCAACTAATATATACTAATAAATATGTTTGTGAAGTTATTTTATAAAGTAAACAAGATTTTATATCAACGTCGATGTTTGTTTTATTTAAGACTGAAGAGAACATGCCTGACAGATAAAAACAGCAAAAAGTGACCAAACGGGGGGGGGGGGGGGGGGGGGGGGGAACTATTTCGCTTGAAATCGATTATCTATATCTGCAATGTTGTCTCTAGTATGAACCGCAGCCTACTCTATTTATATATACAGAAGCCTGTATGAACGTCACTGTCTGTTGAATTCACTCAGCGACCCGCAAAGTTTGGCTCGCTCCTGTGTTTCTTTTTGCCAAGTGTTGCGTTGATATGTTGTGTTTCGGGCAGTCTTGAAAGACGTCACCTGTTGTCTCAGGTACTAATCCACATGACTGATTCGCCAATCTTAGATTCTGAGTACGTAAAAATAAAAAAATAAAGACAATTGATATCCCGCAAGGGATAAAAGCTATCAACATTGCAAGGGCGCAGGGTGAGGCGGGAAATTAACTAGATTACGTCATAACATAAAAGTTAAAGGGGAAGGTAGCCAGCCTGACTATTCTGATATCAGAAGTGTACCAGAAATGAAACAGTACGCGCGACACAGAGTCTTGATGTATGATTACATCTTCATCAGAGATAGATAGATAGGTGATTTTGCTTTAGGTTATAATTGTGACTAGGTTATGTGCGCCATATAAAATGGCTTAGCACTGCGCGCCACCAGAAGCCCTGAAAATGACTCCTGCGGTGTTGATGAGATCCAAGGGAACATACCTAAATATTGTTCCGACCGGCGACGAAGTTGTCTACCGACTAGCCAGAGGGGGACCCTGCCCCGATATGCCCTTCACCAGAGCCGTATTGACAGCATTATGGGCCTCTAGGCATCCTGCTGTCCTGCGCGACAACCAATCACAGGAATGAGGCTTTTATTTGTGGCACATCACTTGACCAGCTCAAGTAAAGGCAGCATTTTACAAAATGAAGAATATTTTATACAATCTTTCTTTGTCAATTGAGACGAGTAAGAGTATTCTTTAAAGTTATTTGCATCTTATATTGCTTTACGGATGTCAATCATGTACAGTTAGTGAATTATTGAAAACTTATTTGAAAGCTGCGGGGGATGTGGATTTATAGACAAATGAGAATACCCTGGACAAATAAAAAGAGTAATTTATATGAATGCAGGCTATTGGTTCAACGCTCTCTGGGAAGGAGCACTCAGACACACCCCTAGTATTTTGTCATTTATGCCACGCTCGTTACAGGGCAGCGGGTTTATTCTCCTCCCCCCCCCCCCCCCCCGGGTCGCACACATGGAGTAACGTTAAGAGCTTCGCGTTTTTGAGTAAATACAGATTTGGATTTTAAAAAAAGCATTTCAATAAAACGTGACATTGAGTTCCTTTCTTCTGCCTTTTTATCCCCCAATATATACTAATTTCAATTTCTGATGTGACTGTTGTGGATAAACGGAGTAGTTATCAGTTATGTTTTCAGCTAAACAATAAGAAAATACAATGTATATATCATAAAACAGAAGCAGTGTCTTCTTCTTCTGCCTTTCTATCCCCCAATGGAGCATAGGCCCTCAACCAACTCACGCCAAGTCGTTCTATCCTTCGCCATTACATGGAGCTCTCCCCATGTCCTCCCAATCTTTCTAACCTCATTCTCCAGCTCTCTTCTCCGTGTTTTTTTTTTTTTTGGCCTTCATTTATTCCTATTCCCCTGTGGGTTCCAATGCAAAGACATTCTAGTTATGCTGTTCTCCTGTTTTCTCAGTGTGTGCCCTATCCAACGCCAGCGTCTTTTCCTCACCTCCTGATCCACTGGAGCCTGTTTAGTTCTCTCCCAAAGTTCTACATTAGTTATTCTATCATACCATTTTATTCCCTCTATTCTGCGCAGGCACCAGTTAATGAACGTCTGTAATTTATTAATAATTGCCTTCGTTGTTCTCCATGTTTCCGCCCCCACACAATAGTACTGATTTGACCATAGAATTAAAAATTTTTAGTTTAGTATTTCTTTTAACCTCCACAAATTCCCTAGTGCTATGAAAGCCCCTCTTGCCTTTTGTATTCTTATTTTAATATCTCTATCAGTTCCTCCATCTTTATCTACATTACTGCCCAAATAGGTGTACGACTCCACGTCTTGGAGTGGGGTGCCATTAAGAGAAACCACATTACTATTTGCCTGATTTATTCTCATTATCTTTGTCTTTCCTTTATGGATTTTCAGACCAAGCTGCTGTGATCTCGCAATAAACTGCACAATGGTAGTTAAAACAAGCAGCTTTTTTTTTTTGTTTGTTTATGTACTCGATTTAGTGTTTCAGTTTAGAGGATTAATTTATTGGCTTAGCGTTAATTAAATTAATTGATACTGTAGTGCACACCTGACGAGATAATGGCGTCAAAACCTGACAATAAATTGGGCAATCTATTGTTTGCGCCCTCTTTGTTCATATTCTTATAGCACTTTCAGACTTACCTAAATAATACGACCCACGATGAGCTCAATGTACGGGTTTTGGAGAAATAACTAAAGTGACAGTGGACCAAGAGGTGAGGAAAATCCGCTGATATTGGATAGGACACGCAGAGAAAACTTAAAAACTATAGATCTAGAAAGTCTTTGCACAAGAACCCGCAGGGGCATAGAAATAAAGGAACACCAAAAACACATGGAGAAGGGAGTTGAAGTTTAAAAGATGGGAAGAGATACATGCTACTGCAAAGTATAAGAAAGACTTGGTGTGGGCCTATGATCCATGGGGGTTAGAAAGGCAGAAGAAGAAAGAGAAGATAAGCTCAAAATGGTGATAATCATTTGGTCAAAAATGGAGCCGGGCCTATGCGTCGGTTGATTATCTAACTGTCTGGTTAGCGGACTTCGCGACAGGAACACAAAATATCACTAGAGACTAGAGGATATAAACAGCAGAAAAACTCAGAATACACGCAAACGTTTTAGCATAAATTTATTTGTTGACGAAAATAATATTGCTTAGCTGCGGAAAACATTTCTTCAGCATTCCGTGCCCTTGAGGTTCATTGCTGCAAAAATCACCCGCTTCCATTCATCTCTCTGGTTGTCCTTCTCTTTCCAGTTGGTGTTAACACCAAGTGAAGACAGCTCTGAATATATTAACACAGACTAAAAGAACACAAAGGGAACTGGAGTGTGACAGCTATTCCAGTGCAAACATTTACATATACCACTCCTAAATGCCTTGGTGGCTACCAGTCTTTCAGCAACTTTCGATGGCTTGACATTCCTGCGCATTCACGTTGGCCACATGCGCCCTACATTCATGATTTGTGTGTGCGTGTGCTAAATTTGGTCTCAATGGAGCGGCCACACAAATGCCTAATCGATTATTGCTAAAAAAAATTACTGTCTGTGGATAGAATTAAAGTTTCTCAAAGTAGAGAACAACAACAAAACTCAGAATATATTCACTGGGTGGGTAAGCAACAGTTGGGCCAGCCATTCTCTGACATGCTAATTCTTCAAGGCTTGGGAGCCAGTTCACAAGACAACTTGATAGGCTGCTGCAGATTTTTACCAAATGTATCCCCAACGACCCATTTGATTGTTTTGTATTCAGGACAACACTTTCAGTGCCAGAATGTGTATCCATTGGTTAATGCCAATAAATGAGAAACAAATCAATTTGAAAAATTTTCGATGAACCTCTTCAGATATAGTAAATACACAGCTCAAGTAGCCAGGGGAATAAAATGTCTTTAGTAAGTTTAAATCAAGTAATGGAAAAGGATGGAGTTAAAAATAAATGAGACTGAAGAATAAATTTTGTATGCAGTCAGATCTATAATTGGAGGCACAACCTGTACTCATAGGTTATGCTTGGCGCCGCATTAAGTGAAAGTTTGAGAATTACTGAAGACATGGACCGAAAGTTAAATGCATTCAAAAACAAAAATCTGAGAAAAATGATGACAAATTAGGATGAATTCAAAAGGAGTGAAGACAAATATGTCTGGGAAATCAAAAGTCAACGGCTATAAGACAGATATTGGCGCTACATTAGACATGCTGAGAAGAAACCAGCAGAGAATTACCAAACAGGTATTAAAATGGGAAATAAAGGGATTAGGGAGGCGAGAAAGAACTAAAGAATCCCTAAGGTGAACATTGATGAGAGAGGCCGAAGGTGCTGACCGAATCCTATCTATGACATTGAACTTATCGCACATGATAGAACAAAATGGAGAAGACAGAGAGCCCTATGCGACGCATAATGAATGCTCAAACGGTAAGTTAAAACGGTTAGAGAACACAGAAAGAACGACTGGGATTCAATGTAAAAAGTCACACAGCATGTCATGTTTGGGCTTGAAAGAGTTCAACAGAGTACACAAACATATTTGGACCAAAGCTTTCATCAAGGCTACAAGCCTCCTGGTGTGTTTTTTTTCTGACACAAAGATCAATTAAGAAAAAATAAAATATACAAAAAGGTCCAGAGGAAATTTTTTTCTCGTTGCATTCATTGACTGTAAACTACAGAGAATAGTTCTGGCTGTTCTCTACCCCCGTGTTCTGAGTCAGATTAATCTGGACGCTGAGTGCATGTTTTACAGATCTGTATAATTTGTAGGTAGATGCACGCAGACTTAGAAAGTCGTCACCACCAAATAGTAGATTCATATGACAAGCTACTGGAAAAGGCAACAGGTCTTTCCTGCCCCCCTCCCCTCCACGAACCCACACAAGTAATCATTTTTTCAAAACAAGACTCGGACAACATGTCAATTGAACACTAGGAGTGATTTGAACTTTTTATTACTTAAAAAAAAAAAAAAAAACAGACAAGACAAGCCAATATTTACACATATATACAAACAGAACAACACTCGAGAAGTGCATATGGAAGAAAAGAACACTTCACCAACCTGCAACAAATCCCAAGTGTATCTGTATGACTGCTATTGATTCCTGCTGGTCCTTTCCTTCCTTCTGGAGCATATCCCTTGCTGGGACAAATTTCAGTGTCATAAACTCTCCCCCTGTTTTTTTTTTTTAAAGCCACTACTCTGGCTTAATTTTTTTTCAATCTGCATTCAATATTTTCATTTACACAGTAGTTAATTTTTTCTACTTCCATTTTTTTTTCAAAAGCCTTGGCATATATTGATATTTTTCTTAAAAAATATTTTTTCATTGCTCTAGCAAGTTTTTTGTAACAATCTTTTCCCAATTCTTATTTTTTTTTTATAACTGCGCTCTGGGGGAGGAACGTATACTCAAAACAGAACTGCAGGAAAGACAACAAGAAATGGATGCAAAAATAGGCCAAGAAAATAAAAGCCTGGGGGGAGTGAAGAAGTTAGCTTTGCACCTGTTGATCGGATGCAAGCCTGAAAAAGAGAAATGCCTCGTTAGTTTCCAAAACTCCACGAACAAGAGATCAAAAAATTTAATTAAGCATAACAAAACAAATGCCCTCCTAATACCTAGTGAAATCAACTATCCATTTTTTTTTTTTCCGTTTTGTATAATTTAAGGTGCCCCTTGTCACCTTTTACTTTATTTTTTTTTAATTTTACAACCAGCCTCAGCCTAAATCAACCATTTTTTCCAATTCATCATTAAATGAAAAATCTTCACATTTTTTTACCATTCTTTTTTTATTTACAGATAAAAGTACACCTTTTTTTCTTGCTTTCTTTTTTTGCTGGTTCCACAATAATTTATGTTTCAGTAGGGGCTGTAATAAGATGCCCTGCGAAATCTCCTGCAAATAAAGCAACAGTGAAACTCAGCAAGTGGGATGGAAGTAATAATTAACAAGTTACTATTCACAGTGACATTTTTTTACCTTTTGTTTTTGGACTCATGCAGTCAAGATAGCAAGCATCCTGTACAATAGTTCATTTTAGTGACTGCTAAATTCAAGGCTTACAAATGTCAGCATAAAGAAATTAAACTCACACATTACCACACAACATGGACAAAACATACTGTACCTGCACAAAATGAAATGAAGGCCTAAAAATAAGTGCTCACCATTCTGTCTTCAAAACATTATGGCAATACTGAGGTCAGTTATGACAGAACTAATCTGAAAGGGGACAAGAGAGGCATCAATGATCAAACACTGTGTGGCTTTCAGTTTCGTGGAAAAATGATTTTTTACTGAAAAGA